AATTTGAAAATTATAAGGGGTTTAATGAGAAATTATTAAAGGACTAAAATGAAAAAGTAATATTGTAATTAAAAAGATATAAGAGGCTGAAAGGGAAAATCACTGTTATTAATTTACCCACGCTGCTTAGTATATATAGGCTTTGTTCGGCAAAAGCGTTTGAGGGGATGTTTAAAATTAAGGGAAAATCACTGTTATTAATTTACCCACGCTGCTTAGTATATATAGGCTTTGTTCGGCAAAAGCGTTTGAGGGGATGTTTAAAATTTTTATTAAATCAAAACATTGTTTTGATGTATTATAACATTCGGAGAGGTAGTTTATAAAACAACTTTCAGTGGATAACATAGCGTTTAATGAAATGTTATCCCGCCTAATATTTAGCTGTTTCACTTTTTTTAAAAAAATGTATTGACAATTTTGCCCTTAATTTAAAACTCTTTTTATTATTTCAATTGATGCGTGAATCATTTCCTCAATTAGCTAGATATCAAGAAGTAATTAAACTAGTCAAAACCTAGTTGCTATGATATTGTGATAGTGTTATTTTTATAGTATTTTTAATGTAATTTTTATTAAGATTTTTAGTATTTTTAATTTATTTAAATTAGTTTTTATTGAATTTTTTTTTAATTTATTTAAATTAGTTTTTATTGAATTTTGTTATGTTTTTAGTTAAAAGCCTCCTTAACACACAACTCACTTGATTTTGAGACAATTTGTAGGGTTTTTGCACAAGAAAAGACAAAATGAAGCAAATTATTTTAGCACGCCTAGACCGTGCTGATCAGCACGCCCATGCTAAGAATCAAGGAAAATTAAGCGGAAAGTCAGACTCTGGCACGCCCAGCCCGTGCCAAGCCGCACTCCCGTGCTGCATATGCCCTGGACTTCCAGAGCCTAGCACGGCTTAACCGTGCTAGGGCGCACGCCCGTGCCACAATGGAGATGCAATCCTAAGGCGTCCCCGTTGAAGCACGCCTGTGCTACAAATGTACAAAAACTTCTAGAGCCTAGCACGGCTTGACCGTGCTAGGGCGCACGGCCGTGCCAAAGGAGCTTCTTCAAGCGTGCTAGACAACACGGCCCGTGCTGAGTCCTCCAGACTTCTAGAGCCAAGCACGCCCAGGCCATGCTGCCTAACATGCCCGTGCCAAAGATAAAGAGCTCAAATTGAGTCAAGAATTGCCAACAAATTCCTACCAATTTCAAGAGCTAATCTTGGACAACTTTCTTCTCAAGAGCTAATCTTGGACAACTTTCTTCATATGCAAATCAAGCCGTAATCTATGCACATGGGAGACATGATTGAAAGAAATTTAAGGCTTGATTGAGAACTTTATCTCCTAACAAGGTGGATTTTATTCTCTAAACTATGTGGATTTCTCTTCCAAGGAGTCTATATAAAGAGAAGAAGAGTTCACTGTGAAGAGGTCCAGATATCTCATCTCATATCATTCTACTCCATTACATCTCATTCTCTTAGTCTTGTATATAGTTTTATTTTTTAGAGTTCAAGCATTCAAGAGTTGTGCAAAGGTTCAAGGAAGCCATCCAAAACCTATTGTTAACTAATTCTTATTTCTAAACTCTTAATCTTGTTTATTTCTTTCATTATTCTTATTGATTATGGAATATCTATCAAGTATTATTGAGTTTTATTTAAGTATTTATTTAAGTACTATGTCTAACTAAAATTCTCATACTTAGGGATTTGATTAGCTAAACTTCTTTTCACTAATTTATAATATTAGATTTGTTTTCTTTTGTTTATAGTTATGATTCATTATGATAAATCTAATGCTTCCAGGCAGAGGTTTATCCCCTGGATTGATTTATTTTATTTAAATCACTATCGGAAGAAGATTTTTAAATATGAAAAAGTTAATGAACACATAGAATAACAATCTTGATGCGTGAAGCTATATGGGTTTGACTCATTAGGGAAGTTTTCATGAATTGAACATCACTTAAATTTATGAATTTATAAACAAACTACAAACTTAATGATTTAACTCATGTTTGATTTGTGCTATTGGAAAATAGGTAGTTTAAACAAGAATTAATAGCTAAATAATACATACGGGAAGCTTGTTAGTGATTTTAGAGTTATTTCCCTACTTGAACAATTAAAATTAATTAAAGGAACTAATAAAATAAATTGGATAGAATTAAGTGAAATCAAAAATCCCCTAGTAGTTTTAAATCCTTGATTTCTTTAAATCAAATAATTGCTGCTTGATTTCTTTTATTTTACTTGTTTGAATTTAAATTTCCTTGAAAACAAATTCCCTTCATTTATGTTTAAATAATAAATAGGTTAACATAATTTGGTAATTGGTATAAGCAATCCTCGTGGGAATGATACTCACTCATCAATATATTACTTGTAGCGATTTCGTACACTTGGGAAAAGCACTGTCATATTGCAACGATACCTCTCTTTTATATTATTGCAACGATACCTCTTTTTATATAGCTGGACTATACACTATAAATTGACATTCTTTTGATAAAAAATTAATAACACATCACATAATCATCTTTTTTTTTTTTATTATATTAAGTTTACTTCTATAGTCATAACTTAAAATTTTAACTCAATATTCAAATGTCATGTTTTGTCATTTTAAATTCAACAGCTAATTAAATAATTATTTTCACCGAACACTTTTGCTCTAAACAGCTATATGAATAACTAATAACTAACAGCTAATATCTAACAGCTAACAGTTATTAAACAGCTAATAGCTACTAAAAGAACTAATCTTGCCGAATATGCCCATAATAATATAATAACTAAATTGTTAAATGATTTTAAACCACAAGGATGTCTTCATAAAATGTTCAAAAGTCAAGGACTCAATAGTAATTTCAATAAATTATAAGGATCAGATAGTAATTTTCCATTCCGTTACAATAAATTGTAAACTTGAAGGGGAGGCAATAGCATTTATAGATAATGTTGGTGGTTACGTAGACTGAATGTGGTGATGCTTGAATATGTGGACTTAAAAATTTGTCCTAAAAAGTGACTTCAAAAATAAATCTTAGGCCGTACCACCAAAAAAAAATCTTCTTAAATATGTGGACTTAAAAAATTGTCCTAAAAAGTGACTTAAAGAAAGTTATTAGCATCTCAATTAATGGAAAAAAAAAACTATATTGATAATATTAATTAGAAGTTATTTTTATGTTGACTTTTATGCCTATAATAATCTATTATTATAATATATAAAAATGAAAACAAATAATAATTGGATGAAGTTATTTTTATGTTGACTTTTATGCCTATAATAATCTATTATTATAATATATAAAAATGAAAACAAATAATAATTGGATGAACAAAAATATCATTATAGATTTATTATTGTTACAAGTAGAGGACAATTCCCGATCAATTATAGTTTTTTCACTCATCGAAGTAGTGAGAGATTTTGAGTTCGAATCATTTATATTACAAGTGCGCATGTTGTGTAGCCCGCAATGTTATTGCAGCTCATCAAGCCTCCATATGGAAAAAAGCCTCCTAATGGAAAAAAAAAAAAAAATAGATGACAATTATCAATTGAATTAAGAATACAAATTATTAATACAATTAGACATTCACATATAAACAAGATAAAAATACATTAATCAAACATAATTAGGTAAGACTTTATACTTCTTACTTCTATTAATTATAACAAGTTTAATTTTTTAACCATCTTTTCAGTGCATAATCCGAAATATTTCCATTTAATTCAAAATTATTTTTTATTAATTTGGTTTATTGGATTTGTCGGTACCGTCTTTTCTATTAATAGGTTGTGAACAACATATGAAACCACCCAGAATAGCCTTGTATACTGATCAAGTTAATTATATCTGATAGGCTGCCATGGAGGTTTCACAAGTTCTCCACATGAATGGAGGAGAAGGGGAAATGAGCTACTACAATAACTCATTAATTCAAGTCTCTCTCTGTCCTTTTCTATGTATAAGTTATAAATTTTCTATTTTTTTAGCAAGAAACTAACTTGTTCCTCTCTTTTAATGCAGAAGAAAGCCATACTGATAGCAAAGCCAATATTAGAAGAAAGCATAGCACAGCTATGTAGAAAAAGCTTGCCAGAGTGTATAACAGTGGCAGAAATGGGATGCTCTTCAGGACCAAATGCACTATTGCCACTTTGGGAAGTTATAGAAACAATAGACTCTACTTGTACACAATTGAATAAAAAACCACCCATTTTGCAGGTTTTCTTAAACGATCTTCCAGGGAATGATTTTAACACCATCTTCAGGTCTATTGTGCCCATTTTTGAACAGAAACTGAAGAAAGAGAAAGGAAGCAAGTTTGAGCATTGTTTTATAGCAGCAACGGCAGGCAATTTCTACGGAAGGCTATTTCCACCACATTCTTTGTCACTTTGCTGTTTGTTTCACTCTTTCTTACAAGTCTTCAATATGGTGTTCTCACGGTCCGGTCTGGCCAAGTTTTAATTTGGCAATTGATCACCAGTTTGTTATATACTTAGTTAGCAATATATAGAATTAAACTAACTATAATTTATAAGTGAAAAGGGTATTAAGCCTTCCTTTACTTTCTGAAAAATAATTTTTTACTTCTAAATATCTTTCCAATACGCCAATTTAAAATTGCGAACAAGATTAATTAAACCAAGACATCTCCTACAAATTTTTTTGATATACCCCACACTCACCACGTGCCCCCGAAGCGGCTTTGCTACAAGCCTGCAAAGTGGGGATTCCATTGAACCCAGCGGCAACATTGCACATCGCAGAACACAAGCCCCCCCAAGTGCTGCAAGAAGCGCATACAAGTATAACGGCAATTTTGGAAATGGGACTTTTGACAGGACTGTTTTAAGGTCGACGTGCGAGTAGAGATGGTTGCAGGAGGGGTGGCTGAATGGGGTCCCTGCACGTTCCTTGGAAAGACGTAAAACAAAGAATGCCTTCTTACAGATATTGGTTGTGTGTGAACTGTTATGCCCGTTCCTTGGAAAGAGTAACAAGAATCCTTCTTACAGATATGGTTGTGAACTTTTGCAAATAATTGGAACGTTACTCTATCACATGGCTAAAGAAGTATGTGTCAGTCTCTCCATCACTCCACTTTGTCTTTTCTAATTATTTGGTTTGGACGTGAAAAAACAGTAACTTAACAGACTGCTGTTTTTTATTTCGTCTTAATTAATGGCTAAAAAGGAAAAAGAAGAAGAAAATTTAGTTCTAGTTTTTGATTTTACTCTTAAGAGAATACTAATTATTAGGTTAACTTTTTATTATTTGCAGGGACTAATTAAAGAAGCAGCATTAGATTCATTCAATGTTCCAGTTTATGCTCCTTCTATAGAAGAAGTGAGGCATGTGACTGAAACGGAAAGTTCCTTCACCATTAAAAGACTGGAAGAATTCGAGCTAAGTTGGGATGCTAATATTGAAGATGGAAACAGTGATTTGGTATTTGATAAATGGGAGAGAGGGAAGTTCGTAGCGAACAAAATGAGAGCCATAGTAGAACCCATTCTAGTAAATCATTTGGGAGATGAATTAATTATGGATAATTTATTTAACAGATTATCTTTCAAATTGGCTGATTATTTAGAAAAGGGAATTGGTTTGTATAATAATTTAGTCATTTCCGTGACAAGGAAATGAAAAAAGTTTGATTATTTTATCGTTTTCGCAATTTTCAATTCACCATTTTTTTCGTCTGTGTTCTGATTATTTAGAAAAGGGAATTGGTTTGTATAATAATTTAGTCATTTCCGTGACAAGGAAATGAAAAAAGTTTGATTATTTTATCGTTTTCGCAATTTTCAATTCACCATTTTTTTCGTCTGTGTTCATTTCTAGGAACTCTAGCTTTCATGTCTTCTATTTCAAATTGCTTCTTTAGATAATGTTTCTAATTCTTGAAATTGGTTGCTTCATGTCTATGTTATTTGGCGAATTTTATTGTCTTTCAACATTGTCTTGCCTTTCTTTCTCTCTTGCTTTTTTAATCCTTTTATCGTCAAACACAAAAATCTAATTTGATATTATTCATATGTTCTTGATTTTTATTAATTTTTACTAGTTAAACTCAATTTTTCTTCCATTCAAATCCGATTTGATATTAATTTATATGTTTTTGATTTTTATTAATTGTTACTAGTTTAATCCAATTTTTCTCCTATTCAATTTTTAATATCGAATTGAAAATGACAAATTAATGATTTATAGATAGATTGATTTGATATATATTGTCAAAAATTGGCATTTCAATATTATATGATGCTATATAAATTTTCTTATTTTCAATATTCAAGAAAGTGGAAAAAGAAAAATTAATTAAAAACATTAAAAAAAATTGCCGGCTCAACGTTAAAAATCTAAAAAATTCCATTGCCGACATTTGAACCCGGGTCGCCTGGGTGAAAGCCAGGTATCCTAAACCGGACTAGACGACAATGGATTGGTGGTTGCTTTTTATTATTATTAATCCTATTCCCTTCCTCGTATTAAAAAAAAAAACCTCTCAAATTTGTATTTCGTTATAATTGCACCTCATTCTTAAATAACCCCTTAGGTACCATAATTTCTAACTTTTGTAATAATTCAAACCCTAACTCAAATCATTCCTTATAAAATGAATAAAATAATAGTATGTGGGACCCATCGGATGCCTTGCACAGTTAATTATGTTCATTTCTTATTTTTCGTATTGGCTTACTTAAGATGCACCGTATCCGGAAAAAAAAAAAAAAAAATCTGTCCTTGTTTTGATTTAAAAAAACTATCTTATGCTCTTAATGCAAATGGAGTAGGGGCATGCAAAACTAATGAATTACACCATATGACCTTACAGAGCTATCGAAGGCACTTTTTGTTATTAAGAAGGAGAAGGTAAATTCTCAAAACTTAAGGATAAGCCTATTCAAATGAAACTTAATACAACGTTGGCGGAGAAGAAAAGAACTTTAGAAACATTGAGATTAATGATGCCTATAGCTTTGTACTAAACATTCACAGAGAAGGTTAATCCACCGATTTCGTTGCCTAAGCCGCTACCAATGCTAATTTGGAGGATTTTAGTCTCGGCTTCGGAAGAACTAAGTTCCAATGTTGTGAAGCAATCTATGATTTTGAGTATGTTTTGAAGCAATCTATGATTTTGAGTATGCTGACACTGAGAATGTTTATTCGTCCGATGCCATCGATGTCAATTGGGAAGTCACTGAAGCTAGCAAATAGATCAATCGACGAACATAATCAAATAGAATAATAGCGACAGATGAGGGGAAGATCAGATTTGGTCTCTCAAAGTTAAAATCAACAAGGGAAAGTGTTTAGGGTTAGTCTGAGACACATTGAATTGACATGAGGAGAGTTGGAATGGGTCTTGGTGCTCTAACCATCGCAACACACTGTTTTACTTAACTGTGCATGATTAACTTTTAATCCAAAATCATCCGATCAATCCCACATTCTATTATTTTATTTATTTTAAAAGAACCGATTGGAATTAGGGCTTAAATTATTACAAAAGTTAGAAATTAGAGTGCCTAAGGGGTTAATTTAAGAATGGGATGCAATTATAACAAATGCAAACAAGAAGGTATTTCTAATGATTTACCATCCCTCGTTTCCTTTTATTTTAAGGGCTTAAAGATTTATTTGAAAATGAGGATTTTTTGGAGGAAATAAAATATATGGGAAAAATATCACAGTAAAAGAATTTTCTTTTATTTAAAAAGAGTGAGAAAAGTATCAAAAGAAGAAAAACATATACTATTCTTCTTCTAAGCTTGATAAAGTTAAAACTACTTCAAATTGAGAAAAAATTGAAAAAAATATATTATTTAATATTGACAGCTTAATTCGCAAGTGTACGAATCGCTACAAGTAATATAGAGTGAGTAGAGTATCGTATCCACAGGGATTGTATACCAAGTACCAAAACATATCCTTCTAAGGGATAAGAAGGTTTCTTTTTCATATATCCGATCTATTTACGGGTTTCTAGATGATTCTTTATCAAGGAAGGTGTGTTCTCTAAGTTCAAAAGCCTAAGAAGTAAAATAGAAATATCACTGACCATATTAATTGTCTTTTCTTTAGTTTCCTTTTCCCTCTTGCCTATATCCTTTGGCTACTGAAATGACTCCATTTGGGGGTGTTTTGGGTCTGTATTGTAGCTTGGGGAATCAAATAGTAGAATGATTGTGTTTATACATTTTGTCTTCAATCCTTATTCTTTCATGACCTAGTATATTTCCGGTTCCCTTTCTATTATCTAAAAATCATTTACTTAAAAGAATGCGGCCAGTAGTGGGGCTCCATCATCTGCATCATAAAGCATACTTAACCACCGACTTTATTTTTTTGAAGTGGGAACGATGCCCCCGTAATGTTGATTTTTTGGGGGAAGGTAAAATAAAATTATATCGGAAAATATCACAGTAAAAGAGTTTCTTTTATTTATTAAAAGAGTGAGAAAAGTATCAAAGAAAGAAAAAACATATAAGGGCTAGTTGCCGGTTGGGGCCTTCTAAGCTTGATAAAGTAAAACTACTATCAAATTGAGAAAAAATTGAAAAAAAATATATTATTTTTAATATTGAACAGTAATTCGCAGTGTAGGGGCGAATAGCTAATCAAGTATTTGATAGAGTGATGTAGAGTAATCTGTATTCTCATCAAGGGTATTGCTATATCTACAAGTAATATATGATGAGTAAGAGTATCGTATCCACAGGGATTGTATACCAAGTACCAAAATTATGTTATCTTGTTATTATTTAAACGATAAATGATGGAAATTGTTTATAGAAATTAAATTCAACAAGCAAAAATAAGAAGTTAAGCAAGCAATTATTGATTAAAGAAATCAAGGAAGTAAAACTACTAGGGGTTTTGATTTCACCTAACTCTATCTAATTTATTTAATTAGTTCATTGATCAATTTAATTATTCAAGTAGGGGAGACAACCCAAAAATCACTAACAAGCTCTCTCGATGTATTGTTAGTTATTTTAACTCGGTCTAATTACCTATCTTCCAATAGCGCAATCAAACTTGAATTAAATCATTAAGTTTTATGGTTTGTCCTGTGAATTCATAACCTAAGGTCTTTAACTTATGAAAACCCCCATGAGTCAAACCGTATATGCTTCCGCATCAAGTTATTATTCTCCATGTGTTTTAATTAACCCTTTCAATAATCAAGAGATCCTTCTTCCGATAGTGATAATTGAAATAAATCAATCTAAAGGGGAAAATTCTGCCTATGAAGCATTAAGTTCATTAATAAATCATAACTTGAAATAAGGAAAAAAACTAATTGCCATGGAAATTGGAAAAGAGATTAAAGAACTACATCAAACCCCCTAGTATAAAGAGTTTAGTTACACATAGTACTTAAATAAAACTCAAACAATACTTGAATAAATTAAATTCATAATCAATAAGATAATGGAAAGAAATAAACAAGATTAAGAGTTAGAAATAAGAACTAGAGGATAAAATTGCTTGATGGCTTGCCTTGAAGTCTTTGCCACAACTCTTGAAGTACTTTAACTTTAGGGGAAAATAAAACTATGTACAAGACTAAGAGAATTGAGAGATGGAAGATGAGATGAATGGAGTGGAGGCGTGTAAGTGTAACGTGGGTGTTCTCTTTTGATCTCCCTTTAGCTCTTTTTTCTATAGACTGCTTTTGAGAGACGGCATTCCAACATGGTCTTAATCAATCAAAGTCTTTCTTTTGTTTAGGTTGTTAAAGCTTTCTCTTTTTTGGTTCTCATTTTTCTTCAATTTATGATCTCACCCTATGTGCATAGAATAGATCTATGGGTTTGCATGTGAGGAAAAGTTATCCAAGAAGACTCCATAAATTAGTTGTCCAAGATTAGCTCCATAAATTAGTGTAAGTTGGTTGGCAACTTTTGACTAATTTTAGGATTCCTTGCTTGGCACGGGCGTGCACTGTAGCACGGTCTGGGGCGTGCACGCTTCTGGAAGTCTTATGCAATAACAGCACGGGCGTGCTGATTAGCACGGTCACTGTAGCACGGGCGTGTCACTGTAGCACGGGCGTATTGATTAGCACGGTCTGGGGCGTGCATTCCACTGGAAGTCTTATGTAATGCAGCACGGGTACTGTATCTGTAGCACGGGCACTGTAGCTGTAGCACGGCACTGTAGCACGGGCGTGCTTAATGAATTTTTACCTTATTTTTGTCCTTTTTCTTGCCAAACCCTACATTTTTCCTCAAAATCAACATTTTTCTCCAAAATCAAAGTGAGTTGTGTTTTCAAGGAAGCTTTTTCAAATAAAAACATATCAATATTACATAAAAACTAATTTAAATAAATTAAAAGTATAGCAAATTCTTATCAAGATCACACATAAAAAATACTATAAAAATAACACCTATCAAATATATAAATAAGATTTCATATATTCTTTCTTTTCAATCTTCTTTCCACATGAAGCCATAAAAACTAATTTAAATAAATTAAAAGTAATAGAAATTTTAATCAAAATCACAATAAAAATACTATAAAAATAACACCTATCAAATATAAAATAGATTTCATTATTTTCTTTCATCTTCTTTCCACATGAAGCCTAAAAGGTAACATAATATGAAGTCTCATTATTATATCAAATAAAACATATTGATTATATAAAATGTGGCATGCTCAAGCAGGTACCAAAACTTCCAGTGAATAAAGGAAATATGTACTTGGCCAAGACAAGTCTTCCTAATGTTCATAAGGCATACTTAGATCAATTTGAAAGAGACTTCAAGGCATTTTTAAGATTTCTGTCTGAAGAAATGAAACATGGAGGTCCTATGGTCCTTACAATCTATGTGTTGGATTATTCCTCTGATAAATACACACCTACCATTTGGGAATTACTTGTCTCGGTGTTAAATGAAAATGGTCTCAGAGGCAACTACTTATACTCTGATTAACAAATTCTCATTAAAGTCACATAAATGTAATATTAATGTTTAATGATTTTTAAGAAATATATATTATGATTTATGAGTATAAATTATTGATGGTATTTCATTATTAAAAAGATGAAACTAAAACAAATTAAGACATAGTCTAACGATAAATGCATATACGATCTGATAAAAAATTCAGTTTTAAATCTCCCTTCCTCAATACTAAAAAAAATAAATGAAAAATGAAAAAAGAAAAAAAAATGAAAAAAAACTAAAATTTCACATGAAAGTAAATTTGACAGTTAGCATGAAACTAAAGGAGACAAACCACTAAACATAATGGGCAAACAGTTAACATGAAAAAAAAAAAAAAACTATTTATTATAATTTGACAGTTAGCTTTATAGCTTGAAAAAATTATAATTTTACCAGGTTGGATTATTACAGATTTCAGTTCCAGATCTTCATTTTTCAAAATCGGAATTAACTATTTTGGTTTAAAACTATGGAAAAGAATGTTTTCAAAGAAACTTCAAACATGTTTTTTTTTTATTGTAACTTTTTAAACTTTTAATAATAATAATACTCCTACCGTTTATTTTTTTTTTTAATTCATTGGAGGTTTTATAGGCCAAAATTATTTGCATGATTTGATAAAACACGAATGTTAAGAATTGCGTGAACAAAAATTATTTTACTTTTTTCATCCCTAACTCATTGACATATTAATAAAAATTTTTCATTTAATGAATAATCATAAAGGTTATTATAGAAAAAGTAATTATTTAAATATATAAAATTTAGAACACATATAAAAAAGGACTAACAAGCAAATAAAATGAGATGGAAGAAATACTATTTATTATTATTATTTGTTCAAGCTACAAAGATGAAAAAATTAAAAAATTTAAAGAAATTTATCTAATTTCATTTCCAAGCCAAATGAAACCAAAACTAATAATTCCAAAACCATCTTAAAAACTATCTAATAGCATTTTAATATCAATTCCACCCTTTTTGTAACTAAACTGATAATTTTAAAACTGAATCCATAGATTCTGCATCTGCAGTCATGAAATATCTAAATGACATCTCGGTGGTCTCCTTCTAAAAAAAAAGAATGAAACCACAAATGAAAAAGGAAAGAGATCAAAAAGAAAATCTAATATTTGTTTATATTTGAGGTTAGATTTTGAAAAATTACTTTCATAGTTCTAAAACCTTGTACATTATTAAGAATGGCTTCAATAGCAGCACAAAAAAAGAAGTTTATTTGAAAATTTTTTTCAAAATAGATTATTTTATCCTAGCTTTTAAAGATTAGTTGAAATTGCACACATTTGATCATACAATTGAAACGAAATATAATTTATTACAAGTATCATTCTTCACAAAAACTCATCTCCAAGCTCCATTCTTAAGTAATATTTAATAATAAAAATAAAATGTGAGAAAAAATTTAAAACAAAAAAAAAAAAAAGAAAAAGAAAGAAAAGGAGTCCTTGGTCGTTAAAAAGTATTAGTACAAGAACCCTGCAATGAAGATCCTATAAGTTGGCTAAAAAATCCCGGTTGTTTAGGTACAAATGCATCTCTTTACCAGAGGATGTGGCCACAGGTACTGCAGAAAACCCAACATATGCACCTTCTGCCTTGGTTTTGCATATTTCAGCAACATATTTGAACAGCTGGTGCTTTTTATTGTAAGATTGCTCCACATACTCCTCAATTGGCATCCACTGAGATCAAGAAACAAACAGCAAGATATTATTATTATTACTATTAACGTTTGAGGCTATACCAAGGATTTGATCCAACTATTTAAAGGCCTTATATTCTTGTTTAAACTGTTTTTGTAAAACCAAAAAAAAAAAAAAAAGTGTTCAAAATTTTAATTAGAGGTTACTAAAAAGTGTTTACATGCAAATTTGACATATATTCTAGTCACAGAAAGTTTTAAGACAGCTAAATAATAAGCTTTCTCCAATTACATTTAACATGATGCGTTTCAGAAAACCAAGTTCAACCTCAATGCTGAGTAGACTCTTGAACATTACTGGGATACCAAACTAAGAAAGTAGCAACACTAGGCATTGCACAGATTATCATTTTTCTTTTATAACCCGATTAAAAACGACAGAATTTTGGTTTCATTTTTCTATTATAACCCGAGTAAATACGACAGAATTCTGGTTTGAGCACCATTTATCCACAAAAAGGAATGAAGCAGAAACCTGAGCAGCCTCAATCTCTGAATCTTGCTTCAGAATCTCAGAGGAGTGTGGTTGTAGCATGCAGATGAAAAATAAATCCGATTTGCTAAAGAATGACTTGTGGCTTTGCCTATTTGGAAATAATAAAGAAGTGATTATGAATACTGAATACATCAGAATCTTTGGAAACATATAGAATAAGTTGAGAAACATCAAACAAGACAATAATGACCTACGATTTTTCATCTGAGAAAAAATGCTATAAGTGGATTATTGAAATAAAAAGCTCTATATTTATTATTTGAAGTGAAGATAATTTCTAAAGATGCATAAAGTACTAGTTAATACAAAATTTTGTTCACGTGAAAAAGAAAAGCCATTACCTGAAAGCCAAAACTTCAACAAATTCTGTCTCAATCTGATAAAAGATAAAAAGAGAGAAATTAATTTCCCAGCATATCTACCATCTTGTTTTCATTTTGAAGTATATGAACTGTGAATTTATACTCACACCTGTCTCTTCTTTAACTTCTCTGACTGCAGCTGTGCAAATATCCTCACCCTGTCAATGGAAATCTGGATTAAAAAAAGGCCATAACAGACATTCCCACTTGCATTACATGCAGTGCAGTTACCTCATTAACTACGCCAGTAGGTAATTTCCATACACCTTTACCTTTAAATTCACCATTCCTCTCCTTCACTACAAGCACCTAAGAAATAAAAGAATTTTAATTCAAAACAAGAAAATAAAGCTACTAAGCAGTAGTGGTACTTTCATCTTTCATTACAGTATAATAATAGCAAATGTACAGAATTCAGAAGGACATCTATGAATAAAAAATTAGGTATCTATTACCCAAACAACTATTAGATACCAGTCCATAAAAAGTCGAGTCAAAGACAGCAGCATTGATTCTCTTGCACCTCGCATTGTGCTAAACTTCAAAAAACATTTGAAAAAAAGTTTAGAATTAAGGTACCTGTCTTTTACTGTTTAAAACGAAAGCCCCAATTCCCACACGATGTGATGCGTTTTCTGGAAGAGTGTTTGGAGTATTAGGTATCCAATATACAAGCATCAAGTAATCTGATTCAGCATGATGATACCTGAATCTTTCCTGCACAATTATATTTAGCAGAACAATATAAAAAAAGAGAGATAAAAAAAACAGTATGAACCAACAATAGTAGTTTCCAAATGTTGACTACACATCTTTCTATTTCCCATTCATTTTACCAGAAAATTCTATTCAGCCCTAATTTGTTAGGGTAATACAATTGTAGTATGTCTGAGATATCCCTACCTGGACCAGAGCAAGTAATCTGATTCAGCATGATGATACCTGAATCTTTCCTGCACAATTATATTTAGCAGAACAATATAAAAAAAGAGAGATAAAAAAAACAGTATGAACCAACAATAGTAGTTTCCAAATGTTGACTACACATCTTTCTATTTCCCATTCATTTTACCAGAAAATTCTATTCAGCCCTAATTTGTTAGGGTAATACAATTGTAGTATGTCTGAGATATCCCTACCTGGACCAGAGGTGCAACAAGACTAGCAAGTTCAATGGGTAACTTTATCCAAACACCCTTCTTCCCCTGAAATTTTTCAAAAGAAAAAAACATTAAATTAGAGACAGCTTTTCCCAGTCATTAAAATGGTTATAAGACAAAGACAACACAAAAAGTACCTGTTGCCTCCATTTTGATATCGAAGCTCTAAGTAAAGGAAGAAAAACTTTTGGGTCCACTGGTTCCTTCATGTCTACAGTAACTCCTCCATACGAATCCTCTACTGCACTCTGTAACCCAATCTGCTCAATTACTCCATCTTTAGCTTCCATCTGCTCCTTCACAATCAATGGTGGCGTTGAAGCTGACAAATTCTTGATCAATACAGAACTACTGTAACAGCAACCTACAGTAGCTAGTAAATTTATGAACAGAAATGAAAATAAAGTATTTCTAATTATTTGAAATGATAAAGGAGGGGAATAAACAATCAACTTTATCTTTAACCCTTCAAGATGTAAACTTGATTTTTAAGTCCTAGAACAGTTTATTGATGTTAGCATATGGATTGGGAAACCTCTAGAGCTACCATATCCACTTTAAAGGCTGTCCTTTCTTACCTTTCCAAATAAGATGTTTAAAACCAGGTATTATGCGTCTCATCCCGTACCTACTACTCCCTCCGTCCCAAAAAGATAGTTCACTACTTATTTTCACACAGATTAAGAAAATAACAGTTATTATAGTTAAAGGACAATTTTATTCATATGACTTTCTTATTATGCTCATCTTAAATAACACCTGAGCAATTATTATATTGAAATAATAAGTAAGAATTAATGATGATTATTGAAAATAAGATAAATTTAATAAGGGTATAATAGACAATTCAAGGATTAACTGGATTAAACTATAATGACACGAAAGGAAGTGGACTACTAATTTTTGGAACAAACCAAAAAGGAAAGATGGAACCTACTCACCTTTTGGGATGGAGAGGAGTATTTGATTACGAGGCTTACATATTCTTTTTATGTTTAGCAAAGTGTTTCTCCAAGGGTTAACATATTCTTTTTATGTTTAGCAAAGTGTTCTCCAAGGTGTCAATAACATATTGGTGAAAGTGTTGTTTTCTGACTATAAGAATAAAAGACTTGTTATGGAACCATTTCAAGACTATAAGATCAATAGACTTTGTTTAATATACATTTATATCTATATAAAGAATTACAACAAAATGCATAAGCGAACACTCAATGAGTTATTTTAAAACAACCTGACCAAATAATTACTTTCTGTGAAGTCCCATCCACACATTACCAGAGCTAATTAATTAAAATTCTCAAATACCTAAACCATCAAGAACTAAATATTTTTGAATTACAAAGTTTTCCTAATTCATAAAAATAGTATAATGTGTTCTAAGAAAAGCAAAAGGATCTCACTCCTTATTATGAAGAACAAGAGGAAGATCAGAGGAAGTATGCCTGCATTTAGCACATCCAACAATTGCCATTAGCTTTTTAATCAAATATGAAAACTCTGAAGTGAGAATAGAGGAGTAGGACAATGAAGAAAATAGGAATTATAAGTTTTCTGATTCTAAACATTTAAAGGAATTATAAGTTTTCTGATTCTAAACATTTAAGGATGATCTTATTTTCAATGCTCCTACAGCTATTCTACTATTCTAAACATTTAAAGGAATTATAAGTTTTCTGATTCTAAACATTTAAGGATGATCTTATTTTCAATGCTCCTACAGCTATTCTACTAACCATACACATAGTATTTATAAGAACAACATAAAATAATCAAAAAAATACCAACATAATACAAACTTGGAAGTGAAAATTCAGAACAACAATATCAAACAGTCCTTTATTAACAATAACATAATAATAACATCTAAAATACCAACCAATATATTATCAATTATCCTGAAAATAATATTTCACCTATAACTATAAGACCACACAGAATAAACAATAATAGGACCAGGAAGGAAGAGCCATTAAACCAAGATAGCAAAACCAAAGCGAGCAAAAGTACAATTCGAAACAGCTTGTCCTCCTCTCTTGGGCGCTGAAGGATAAAGAAAGATGTTTTGATGCGGACGTTACTTGCCAGAAAAGACGAACAAGGCTTTTAATGTTTCTAAAACTTCTGCATTTTCAAACCCAAATGGATTGTAAAAATGCTTGCACAAACTTGTTTGGCTAAACTTTGGAAGTTTTTTAATTCTTTCAATTTTATAGAGGAAAATTTTTGCCTCCCATAGGTCCCCAATGGCCAAATTCCTTTGCCAAATTGGGGGCTTCAAGAAAGTCAACACTTATAATTTCTTTGACATCTTAGACCTTGGTTATATTTTCCTAACAAAAAATGACAGAGTTTAAATTGGACCACCAAGAAAATCACCACAAGAAACCTTCTTATCAAGGCGTTCTTAGTTGAAAAATAATACGTGAACCAAAAAGGATTGTTTAATTTAGCCATGAGATGTTTTCCACTAAGTGCACCCAAAGCTGAATTAGCCATGAGATTGTTTTCCACTAGTGCACAAGCTGCTAATATAATCATACTCACTCATCAGTAAACTAAATCATCCGAACTAACCGAAAAATATGAACCAATCACAACCAAAAGAGCAATTAAATTCCTCTGAAATTGGTTATAAGGAAACAGATCAAAGAAAAAAATGAAACGAATACAGAATTTTGCTTACCTGGTTGAAAATTAGCGTTTCTCTGGTTGGTGTAAACCGCTGCAAGCAAGAGAGATAAAGCGAGGGTTGAGAAATTAAGAAGAAAGAATAAAAAATAAACAGGGCGAAAACAGACAGAGAACGTACAGCTCTGCAGAAGAGGCAACATTGATAGAGAGAGAAGATCCAGCTATAGCTATAGTTAAAAAAATGTCGATCATTCTGCACATAAAATATTAAGATAAATATTACAAAATCAAACGGAAACGGAAGCAGGAGGAGCTCCATGATTGATATCTGAATCAGATACAAGCCACACTTACGCGTGCCACGTGGGAGTGAGGGTATCTGGAAGATTCCGTCCGTCAAGCTGAGTCTAAAATAAAATCTCCCCCGCCGGCCGGTGATACTAGCAGCTGTTTTGGTTAGAATGGCAGTAATTTTTTTTTATGCATGTGAAAAATAATTCTGAAAAATATTTAGAAAAAAATAACTAAATTTATCAAAATTTTTCTATCTTTAAGGGCGTTTAGTTCAGCTGCACTTAATAGCTGACTTCCAAACAACTGCAGCTGCGTTTTTGGAGCCTTTTTTTTTTTTTTTTTTTTTTTTTTTTTTTTTTTTTTTTTTTTTTTTTTTTTCTTGTATCAACTACTAGTTTATTTAAATATTATTTTATTTTATCTCTATTAATCTACAAAACACTATTAATAAAATTCTCAAATTAATATTTTTTTATGGTTATTTTATTTTTAAGTTTTAAAATCTAATATTGGGGAGCCATTTTTAAAATCTAACATCTACAAATACACATTTAGAAACTCTACCATTCACAACTTCTATTTATTAAGACACGTCACTCACAATTTATGGTTGCACTAGAAATGCTCTTGCTATGTAAACAAAGTAGTTGATAGAAGTACCAACCGTGGATCGATTCCATCATAGATTTACTAAATATTATTTAGAAAAATTAATTAATATTTTTCATTTATATAATACATTAAAATAAAAAATAATATATAACTTTAAAAATAAAAAATACAAACATTATATCACATAACATAAAAAAAATATAATACATTAAAATAAAAAATAATATATAACTTTAAAAATAAAAAATACAAACATTATATCACATAACATAAAAAAAATTATATCCTTAACATTCATTTAATATTTTAATAACATAAAAAAAAATTATATCCTTGACGTTCATTTAATATTTTAACATTAACCATAAATATCAACAACCACCGCTATGGGCCATCAACGTGTATATTTAGCTATATCAAAAACAATCACTATAAACCAACCAAACAGCTATAGGTGTAATTTTCAAATTTAAATATTATAATTTTAATGGGACAAAAATTTAGAAAGTAGAAAAATGATTTGAATATTTTTATTATTTCTTTCCTTTTCTTCCAATGTCATTATCTGGGTCCACATCTACATTAGTGTCCACAGCGGAAATTAATACTTTTTTACATTTTAATATATATAGTTACCAAAATTTACGTTCTCTACTAAATTTTTAGGTTTCCCCCCACTAAATTATTAACTTTATATATCACCACCATTGACCAAATACAAGCTTAATCTTATCAATCAACTCTCATAATTTATTAACTCACCCTCCCTATCACAAATTCACAATCACACACTAATATTTTACTCTTAACAAAGCTCACACGCAAAGCAATCACCATTGTATCAATCTAAAAAAGAAAATGTCATCAAGCCGATCATTACTCGGAGAATTACCACCGTACACAAACAGCCCATTTTCCCCATTCAACCGGCCCGACGAAAAAGCACACCACCCTCGCGGCCCAGGATGATTTTTCGAGCCCAGCCCATCATCCACCTTCTTCCACTCTAAAATCTCCGTGTCCAAAGCCCATGCTTCCTCTAAAATCTCCGTGTCCAAAGCCCATGCTTCGCTAGTAAACTTTCCGGCACCCATGTGGCCCAAGTCACTCGGGTCCACTTCTCCACCGTAGATCACTATGTACTTTCCAATCCCAACCGTTGAAAATACACTTCGAGCCGTTGGTTTTTCACCCCGTATCTGTACTTGCTCCCACTTTCCAAGGGTCGGATCAAAGCTATGCACATCGTCCGTTTCCATACCAGCGAACCCATATACGACCCATATTTTCCCTCCGGCTACGGCCAGCCCAGGCCCGCCTCGGCCCTTACAATTTTCTCCTGGTGTTGGATACTTGATCCATTTTTGTTCGACCACATTATAGGCCCATAAATCATTAAGCCGGCCATAGGCCCATAAATCATTAAGCCGGCCGGCGACACCACAGCCGCCGAAAATGTACACGTGCCGATCATCGGAGGTGGTTGAATGGTAACTCCGGTGAGGAGGCCCGGCATCGCCACTAGATAGTAGCGTCCACTTATTAGTATCAGTGTAAAAAGAGTAAAGCTCATTAAGCTCCTTATGTTCACTGTCTCTGCCACCAAACACATAAATAGTTTTCCCAACTGCGGCCATTGTGACGCCGACCCGCGGCGGCGGTATGTCTCCGGTGACTTGAAGGGTAGACCATGTTCGGTTGTCGAGATCAAAGACGTGAAGGTCGTTGTCGACAGGGACACGTGGCGCAAACTCGCCACCAAAAGCGTAGGCCTTGTGTCCTACTAGGCCTTGTGTCCTACTAAGGTAATGGCGTGTGAGCTTCTGGCTCCAGGACCAGTCCCTTTCTGATCAAGCTGATACAAGCAGATAACAAAAATTACTGAATTCAAATTTCTCGGAAATGAATTTCAGTCAAATCAAGAAAAGGAGATTTTGGATTCAATAAAAATAACAGAGAAAAGGAGATTTTGGATTCAATAAAAATAACAGGAATTGAATTCCTAATATAAACCATTTTCATGAAATTGATTGATCAAGAAGAAGAGAGAGAGAGAGAAGTTACCTCGATCCAATTGCCTCGAATGACCGCCATGGAAAAGATTTGCACTGAGTCTCGGAATTGAAATGCCTTTGCGTTTCGAAGAACAGATTATAATCATACAGAGAAGAATGTTATCTTCCTATTTCCAACTGAAGCATATGGCCTTATTTTAGCTTTTAATTACAATCGTATCGTACAATGGTTAGCTAATATAATTAAATTTTATTCGAATATTAAATTACAGGATTTTTCTTCAGTGATGGGCTGATGGCATGCAATGTGCCATGCTGACATGACAATCCTAATATGTCTACTTAATAGTTAATTAATTAAAACTTTAGTTCACCTAATCTCTCACAAAAAAAAAAAAAAAAAAAAAAAAAAAGGTCCACCATCTGCAAAGCTCTGCAAGGCTTACATTTTATATTTATATATATAATGTATTTCTTTTATTATTTTTTATTATTATATTTAATTATTTGTTTATTTTTAAGTTATTTCTTTTATTAAAATAAATTGTTCATCGTTAGAAATATATTTTCTCACTTAAAATAAAAATTAGTTTCATTTAAAACGTTTTAGTTTTCTCCTTAACCATAAAAAAATCTTTTGTTAATTGATTTTTCCAAATATTTCAAATACTGCTAAACAATATTTTTCAATAAATTATTTTATGAAAATAAAAGAAGCCTTAAAATAATTTAAATAAAATACAACGTTAATAATAAAGTGGTGGTAGCATTATCGCTAAAACAAAAAAATATTATTATATTATTACCAGATCAAGATATTTTACTTATATCAAAATTGAATAAAATTTTCCCCTTTTCACTTGAATCAAATATATTTTTTTAATTTTTTTTTTCAATTTCCAGTGCAATATTTTTGTTGCGTTTCAAATGCAAATCTGGTACTTGATTGCAAGGTGTTCATATAATTTAAATATTTAATTATAATATTTTCTTTCTATTTCCAAACAGTATTTTGTTGCGTTCAAATCAAATTGGTACTTGATTGCAAGGTTTTCAATAATTTAAATATTTAATTATAATATTTTTTTCTATTCAAACAGTAAAATAGAAAAAAATTTAAAAATTGCGACATTAAAAGTATAATTAATCTTGGAGTATACTATTAAGGTAGAGTATCAATAATGAATCCTTAGAGATACCGCTTTAAATAGTCATTAATAATATAACACAATTTCCCTACCATATTTACACTTCATAAATCAGCCTTGTTATTTATTTATTTTTCTCTTTAATTAGTATTAAGAAAAAAATACATCGGAATCATATATTAACTATATTCGGCAACATCTTTTTTGGTAGCTTTTTATATAATTTTTTAATATTTTTTCTTTAGCATTAAGTCAAAACATTATTTTCATTACTTATCGTGTTTGGTAGTGTACCGTTGATACATATTTATAATTTGAGAGAGCATATTACAAAACATAACTCCCTTTTAATTCTGGTTAAGTAGTTAATAACTACTAAAACAACTAACTTTTAGCTATACAAAAGCAAATACGATGGCACCTCTTTCATTTAATAATAATATTATTGTTAAATCATTTCCAAAGAGTGAGATTGTTAAATCATTTCCAAAGAGTGAGATGAGATGATAGAAATTTTTTCTCCCTTAACTAAAGATCTCGAATTCGATTCTTGAATATGAATTCTTTTTAAACACTCGGGAGGGACCTTTTTTGTGGGCCTGTCCATTGTGAATCCGAATTTAATTGGGCCAGTGGGCTCAGACACCGAAGGATTAAAACTAATAATATTATTGTTATATCAAAATATATTAGTCCTATAAAATAACCCTCTTTTATTTTAAATCAAATATACTTTCTTATTTTTTTTCTCTATTTGTATGAATACTTTGTTGCTTGTGAATTAATGTAACACCTAATTGCAACACTTTTAATAGTTTTGAGATTTATTTATAAACTTTTTGTGTTTTAGATATCAAATAAAAAAGTTTAAAAGCTCACACACACACCACATATAGAATTAACCTTAAAATACACCATTAAAGTATAGCTTAAAATAATGAATCGTTAATAATGTAACGCAACTATTCCCTAACCGCCATTAGACTTCATGAATCTAACTCATTATTTTTGTTTTATTATCTTTGGCATTGGCAAGAAAACAATACACTAGTATCATCGCAGTGTATATATATATATATATATATATATTGGTCAATCAAGTGTTATCTGATTAGTTTTCTTTTAATGTCGGAGTGAAAAGTTTAAGTTCGATTATCTAGATCAAAATTTTCATCAATTTAATAAATTAAAAGAGTACCATGTCTTATTGTTTAGCTCGTAATATTGTTAATCTTCTAATGAATTTAAGAGAGAGGAAAAAAACCACACAAAAACAATGAACCAAACTAAACTGATGAAATTAAGGAAAAATTTGTCTAGATTCTTTCTATGTCTCCACCTATGGATCAAACCAATGAAATTAACACTTTGTTAGAATGAAGAGAAGGAGGGATCATGAAAGTAAGTAAGGTATAGTAAAGTATAG